TCTACCAGCGCCATCTGCACTCTGATTTTGTTTTTTTGTTTTTTTTTTTTTAAGTTCTTACACCTGGGCCTCCTAACATCTGGAAGGAAATGGATCCTGCTTTGAGATCACTTCCTTCAACGCAGGTTTTTCCCTTGTCATTGAGTCCCCATTGCCTCTCCCACAAGGGCCAGCATCCTAGAATGTTCTTTCCTTGGACCCCTTCTCCCACCTCTGGTTGCAGATTACTGAGTCGGGAGACTCTGTCCCTCCTTATTCATGTGGCTTGTACCTTTGCCCTGGAGCCCTCCAGGTACCGCCGGGGTGGCCGCCCACACGCCAGCCCCTGACGTTGGCCAGACACTCTTGCTTTAGGGAAGCTGAGACGGCTTCATTAACTGTGCCCACCACTTAGTGCTGTTCCCTGATGCTGCCAGCCTGGCAAAGATGGAGATTCTTCCGCATGGTGCAGATGTCCACCATAATCTTTCTCTCAGTGGGATGAGAGGTTTTATTCCACATGCTGAATTCAGGTCATCTGGGGCCTTGGCCCTTCTGAAAACCACTGATAGGAAAAGCTGAAAGCGTTGACTTAGTAAATATTTCAATATTAAGATTTTCTTTAAAGGATGGCATTTCTGAATGTAGTATAACAGCCTGCTTTTGACTCCTGCCTGCCCTTCCTGAAGCCATCAAGCTGGACTTCTCCAGTGAGGGAGTGATCGGTTAAATTAGAGAGTGCAAAAGTCATACCATTCACATCCGCCCACTTTTATCGGAAATCTTTAAAACAGAGCATAAGAAAGTCTTTGTCTCTGAAATTCTCACCCACTCGGTCATTTTACTCCCATTTTTCAATAGCGATTACTAGAATAGAGCATGGAGTTAGAATTTCCGTGGGAAAGGTACAGATTTTCTTTGCTTTTCTAAGAGGATACCACCCAAGGTAAGTGTTCTTTGATAATAAACGACTGGATAGCAAGATAGATCTGAGACCCGTGGTGTTGCGGGATTCCTGTCAAACCCCCAAATGAAAGTAGGTGGCAACCATTGTGCAGATTCTTCCCCACAAGGAAGGTAACCTAATTTCCAGATAATGCTTTCGCAGCATTCTGGCAACTTTCTGTGTAAACCCCAGCGGTGGGGAGTCTATATCCATCTGACATTGTTGGGATTGGAATGGTTAGATTAATTTTGTGCAGAGAAGCTTTCTTTAGCTTCCCTGTTGGCTGAACGACCAGCTTTGGAGTCCCAGCATGAGTGTAAGTTCTGGTACAGTGTGTACCAAATGCTGATAAGAAGATACCACTTGGAGAACAGGTTTTTGCATTAGGAGACAGAGGTAGGAGACAGAAAGGCTATTTCTTAAAGTAAACTCGTTGTAAGTATTTCATTTTCTCCTACCCTGGGAAGTAGAAATGAACACCTAAGCTGAGACATTTATGTTCTTCAGGTTAGCAGCTCTGGGCTTCTCAGCAGCAGTTGGCTGCATTTTTGTTCCAGTGTCTTCTACAGGAATGGAGTTCTCCATTTTCGAGGATAGCAAGCAATACTTAAGAAGTGACCAAGGTAAAACTAATCTGTCGGGGTCCCTGCTGTGTCCCCCCTCATTGAGATACAGAGCACTTCCCTCCAGAGCTCTTGTGGAGGAGGAACGGGCCAGGGCTGTTCCTGAAGAAAACGAGCCACTGTGTCCCTATTCGGGAGACGTGAACTGCATCGTGTGTGACCGTCTCACCAAAGAATTCACTCCCTTTGCACGTTACATTTGAAAACCGTATCTGTACCTAAATTTATAGCATTTAATAACCTGCCCCCTTCACTTTGAAGGCGGTGCTGAGGCCCCCCCAATGTAAGTCACTTGGTTCTTTGAGTGGGTTTTCTGCCGGTGAGAGCCGTCCTGTGCTGGCGATGTCATAGGTGCACATGTGCACAGCCGCTTTGCACCTGTGCGTGTCTAAGTACGTCATTTGTCCTAACACGCGGTCCCTGGGTGCACATTTGCTTTCTGCTCTAAGGAGGCTCAGAACCCTGTTACGGGAGCGTGTCTGGGCGCTGGTGTGCCCCTTGTCAGGAATCCCAGTTGGGTCACTCTTGTGGCTTTGGCTCTGCCTAGGACATCAGTGTGCTTTTGGGAGAGGAGGACAGACTGGGGACCAGCCCTCCCAAAGGAAAGGGCCCAGGGCAGGGAAAGGCAGAAGGCTCCTTCTCACTTTCTGGGCACTCAGGTCACTTTGCGAAACCTGGGGAAGAAAATGCTGTTGAGTAGCACTGTCTTTGCCTTGCACTTGGCTTTTAGTGTTTGGAGGAGAGAATCCACTTGTTGCTAATCAGAAATTACATCTGGGATGGATGGGAACAGACAGGCACTGTCTCTGTGCGTCTGCCAGCCACATTCACCAGCCAGATAAAAACAGTGCGATACACAGCTCTCAGGCCCATTTCCCTCTGAGGCTCCTGTTTGCTTATATACTCCTCTCCCCACAAAAAGTAATGTTGAGAAGTCACTTTGCAGCCGTGTTTGCGTACCTCCTAGCACAGCCTTGTCTGCTGAGGGTTATGTGGAAACCTATCTTCCCTTTCGACCTGCTATCCACGTAGTGGTTTGCTAAATGCTTCGTTGTGATTTACAGTTTGACTCGCATAAGTCAGCTTAAATCCTGTATGGAAGAAAAGAAAAAGGCAGTTCCAGGAGAAATTGCCCCCTGGGCTGACTGGAGAGTCCTGGCAGCAGCAAGTCCTTGGTTCCTCCTCTTCCTCTTCTTCCTCCTCCTCCACCGCCACCTTGGTGCCACCCAGAAGCCTTCTCTTAACTGTGCAGGAGGCCCCAGGCATGGCCGCCTCGCTGAGGCACCTCACATCTGCTCCTGGCCCGGAGCTTTCAGAAACCGTCCACACATTGCTGGAAACAGCCCGGGACGCTCCGGTCTCTGTGCTCGTTCTTCTCTGGTCTGCGTCATGGCCCTTTCCTGTCTTATCACACTCCGGTGTCTGATTTTCCCACTGCGCTACCGTGCCGCGAATGGCGCTCCCTCCTCATTTCCTCTCATTTCCTCCCCGCTTGCTGCGCCGTGGTGTCATTTCCTTCCCACCTATGATGCCGCCGGAACCCCAGATGAGGAGTGGCCCACTGCACCTGCAGGGCGCTGCGACCTCTCCTGACACTTGGCTCCCTGAGTTATTTTTCCTCCTCTGCATGTTAATGACAGGGGACGGGATCAGATGATTTTTGTCCCCCATTCTAGCTAGAAGTGTCATGAGTCCTCGGATTGTTTCTCTTCTCTTGGCCTGTCAGGTAAAGTACAGGAAGGACACCCCCGGTTGCCCCGCAGCCTGGAGCCCTGCGGCCCCAGTGGGGCGCCCGCTGCACTCGGCCACCCAGCGGCTGCGGGTGCTAAGTGTGGCAGGCGGGGTTACGCACGGACTTTTCAGACCTGTGAGCTCCATCGAGCCTATTTTCTTTTCCAGTGACGTAATTGTAGCTAAGTTTAGGTCAGTAAATGCCAATTGATGATTAAGAGGAAATACCAGTGATTTTCCTGTAACTCAGCAGCCAGAAGTCATGATGATAGCTTATCTCTGCACGTGCTGTTGTTTTGTTTTAGATTTTTTTGATAAACTCTTCGTTTTAGATTTATAGAAAAACTGTAAAATGCTACAGAGAGTTTCCATGTACCCTTCACTGTTGCCCCTGTTGTTAGCATGTATCTTACCTTGGTTACTGCCAGTGTTGGTACCGCATTATTAACCAATGTCTGCACTGTAGTCAGGTTTCCTTAGTTCCTCCTGGTGTCCTTTTTCTGTCCAGGAGCCCAGGCGGGATCCCACCTTACATTTAGTCCTCCTGCCCCCTCTTGGCTCTGACGGTCTCACGCCGTCCTGCTCTCACGCCGAACTGCTCAGGTGCTTTGTAGACTGTCCCTCCCCTGGGCTGTGTCTGATGGGTTTGGGAGGACCACAGAGGCGAAGCGCCCATCTCGTCACATCGCACAGTCAACGTGGCCGTCACCGTTGTTGGCCCTGATCGCCGGCCCAGGTGTCGGGTTTCTCCACTGCAGAGTCACCCCCGTGTGTCCCCCACCCTTCGATATTGTCCTCTGCGGGAGGAAGTCTCCGCCGAGTCCACCCGCAGGAGCGGGGAGTGAAGCCGCTCCTCTGTGAGGACGGCTGCTGGCCCGTCCTGGCCAAGGGATCGCCGATGGCGCCCTCCCGCTTTGGCAGGTGGGGTCATGTGTCGGAGGAAAGCAGCCCCAGAGCTGCCCTAGGGTCACTGTTCCCTGCAACGTAGGCGTCCCCGGGGCCCTCAGGGGTGTGTTCCGTGTGACGGTGGCACCCACCTGCGGGTGGAGACGTGCCCCCTCGTGGAGAGCGTCTCAGCGTGGCCGGCCAGCGTTGCGCCCACAAGGAAAGTGCTGCCTCGAGCAGTAACGGTTAGGAAAAGCCCTCACTTGTAATGATCCAACATTTTTCTGCTCTGGCCCTAACTCCCTGTGAACTTAGAAGTGGAAACAACTTGTTCCTTATTCTCAGAGGATCCTGGAAAGATCTAAAAAGGCTTCTCTTGGCTATTCATGACCTCTGGGTTTTAATGATCACGATGTGGTTTGGGTTGCCTCCCTTACAGTGTACTTGAAAGAGCACCTTGTCTTTCCCGGTAAATGACGTGATTTCTGAGAGTAGAAACAATGTCACTAATTTGTGTTCCCCATACTGGGTCATTTCTGCCCCCGGAGGATTCTCAGTTAAGAGGAACCGAAATGAGAGACCTGGGTCAAGTGCGCTGGGCACCTGGCCCTGCTGGGACTTTTCTACACCGGCTGGTGAGACCCAAGACTGGAGAAGTCGTGCTGTTCTGACAAGCGATGGTGGAATTCGAAGAATTAAACCGTCTTAGCAGGAAATGGTTGTAAAAGACCTGGTCACTGTCTGCGTTTCGGTAATGGCTAAGATGAGGGTAGTGTGTGAGGCAGGAAGCAATGACTCAGCGCCTCTGTTCTTTCTCGGCAGATTCGAACAGCAGAATGGGGTGCAAAGTGCTGCTCAACATTGGCCAGCAGATGCTGCGGCGGAAGGTGGTGGACTGCAGCCGGGAAGAGAGCCGGCTGTCCCGCTGCTTGAACACCTTCGACCTCGTGGCCCTGGGGGTGGGCAGCACGCTGGGAGCCGGCGTCTACGTCCTGGCCGGAGCCGTGGCCCGTGAGGACGCGGGCCCTGCCATCGTCATCTCCTTCCTGATCGCCGCGCTGGCCTCGGTGCTCGCCGGCCTGTGCTACGGCGAGTTTGGTGCCCGAGTCCCAAAGACGGGCTCTGCCTACCTCTACAGCTACGTCACCGTCGGGGAGCTCTGGGCCTTCATTACCGGTTGGAACTTGATCCTCTCCTACATCATCGGTAGGTCCCAGAGCCCTGGGGCCTGCGCCCCCCGCCACTTTTCTGCCTGCTCCCACCTCTGGCATGTGGGTGGGTGCCCCCAGAGCCTGGCTCCTCTGCAGGAGCTGCCTCCTCGCTCGCCTGTCGCAATGTCCCATGGTCCTTTCGGGGAAGGTTAAGTAGCCTGCAGGCATCACTGTATTGGCTTGGCCTGCTCTGCCCTGTGCCCTCGTGCAGGGACCAAGCCAGACCACGAGCAGGTCACTCCTGTTAACAAGAGAGACATAGCGTTAACAGGATGTTTCTAATTTGTTAAAAAGTATTTAGTTTCTTTTAGTATTTTTTTTTCTGATTATTAGAGTAAATACTTCACTGAAAGAGAAAAAATTGAGAAATAAAGAAAAATACAAAGAGGAAAGTAGAAATACCCATTGCTACTACTTTTGTGAATTGGAATATATAATATATTTTAATACAGTCTGTCTCTTCATACAACAGTATACAATAAACAGTTCTCGTACTGTTAGCTGTTACTCTGGAGTAGCGTTCCCAATGGTTGCACACCATTGTATAGATTTATACGCATAGCATAATTCGTTGGGTGTCCTTATGGGATGTTTAGATTGTTTCCAGTTGTGTTCTTGTTGTTACAAACAGCTAATTACTTTTTGTCTTCGGGCATAGCCATGATTTTTTTTCCTTAAAACTGCTGAAGAAGCAGAATGTCTCCGTAAGTGGGGCTGCGTATTTTTAAGGCCTTTGTCGATGTGGTTCTCCACGCTGCCGGGGCCCTGCCCTCACCGGCAGCACTGGGCATCAGCCCCGAACACGGCCACCCAGCAGACAAGGGACCAGAAACGAAAAGTCTTGTCAGCTCTGTAGACGGACATGCTTTGCTCCTCTCTAACGTTCTTTGCATTTTGACTACAGCTGAGGCTGAACACATTGACTTAAAAGAAACAAACACCTGCACATAATAAGCAAAGGGTATGAATGGCCACTTCACAGAAATAAAAATACAGATATCTACTAAACATTTAATTTTATTTTTTAAGCAAGCTTTTCGGCAATGTTATCAAAAAACCAGTAAGAAGTGGTAAATTGAGCCGTGTGGGTCCTGGCTCCCTTGGGTGTCAGCTCTCCCTGGGACTCCCCAGCCCTGAAGGGGGCCGCCCTCTGGGCCCCTGGGCAGCACCTCGTCTCTCTCTCAGCAGCTGCAGTATCTGCTGAGCGCCGACATAGCTTCCCCTTCTGTGTTCTAAAATCAAATTCGTAATCTTTTTTTTTCCAGTTTGGCATCAAAACTTATAACCACAAATGGTTCTCACAAGCTGAAGTCTCTCAGTGGGAGTGTAGCCATTTTAAGTGGACCGTTATGTTTCCAGAGGATTTACCTGGGCATAAAATATACATTGAGCATGAAGCGCTTGCCGCTTCTAGACCAACAAATGAAAGAGTCCTTGCCAGAGTGCTGTTTGCTTGTGTAAGACTATTTGCATGTGTTATGAAAATTTATTCTCAGCCTTCGCTCCTGGGGAAGGGCAGTTTTTTTCAGCAAACAATTTTTTAAAAAGGCATGATGCAGAAATGGGAAGGGGGGCAGCTGGGAAGTAAAGGCTGGGGAGCCCCTCCCATCCAGCAGGACGGGGCTTGGGAGCCAGATCCGCAGAGCTGGCCACATAGGGGTGGTGGGGAGACAGTGAGACCATTTTTACAGAATTCATAATAGACTGGCTACTCAGGAGGAAGCCATGTGTTTACATTTTTCAGTTGTTGGAAAAGTACTCAGTGTGAGACCAAATAACAAAATTGAATGTCTATGCAGATCACTCTGGCAGAGTTCTGTGGATAATTCAGACCATAGTCACCCACAGGGCCCACAAAAATAAAGGAAAACGCTATATGCAAATACTGGAATTTTAGAGATGTTTCCTGAGAAACACCACTCTGAGTGGTGTTTGATGTTTCCTGAGAAACACAACAGTGACTCTCTTCAGAATTAAACGGGAGAAAATTAGCTGGGCGTGGTGGCATGCACCTCTAGTCCCGGCTACTCGGGAGGCTGAGGCAGGAGGATTGCTTGAGCCCAGGAGTTTGAGGCTGCTGTGAGCTATGATGCAGGGTCCTGGATCCAGCCGGGGCAACAGAGTGAGACTTGGTCTCAAAAAAAAAAAAAATTAAACAAGAGAGAGAGAAGCCAACTATTGTTGGCATTTGGGTCTGCCTCTGTGTTCCTCAAGGCTGGGGAGTTTGGGGTTTGGGGAGAACGAGGAGGGCTGGGCTTTGTCTGTGGTCCTGCACTCTGGGGACACTGACCTCCATGTTAGGTTCAGGCACAAAGTGGCAGAGGTGGCTGATACCTGCTCTGAGATGAGCATCTGGCTTTGTCCCTGAGATGGGGGGGCTACCCCTTCAAGAATCCTTGGGCCCCTCTTCTTGCTGAGAGAATCATGTTATTGGGGTGCAGGTCTCATCAACTCTGTTGCCAAGGGGGTCCTGGAAAAGGGGCTTCCTAAGCGATGTTCCTCTAGACTGCCAGATGTACCCCTGGAGTGCATTATGAAATAAATTTCGTGAGTTGTCATCAGTATTTTTTGAATGAAATAAAATAGGTAGCATTAAGTAAATATTATCCGAGTGCCTCCCAGGTGGTAAGGGTGATTGTTTCGTAAAATTTTTTTTGGGATGTAAATGTATTTGATGCACACAGTACACGTGTGCATTCCTCTCCACGCCCCAGAAGCCTTCTCCTACTTTTCACTCCCAGCCTCGGTTGACCCTCACTCCTGGCCCCGCACACGCTGTGGTCTGGCTGCTGCTGCGAGATTCCAACGCGCCGTCTATTACCTCTGAGCGGATGCTGTCAGCGTGGAGCCCGATGACAAATATCTGCTAACTGTTTTCCCTGAATCCCTCTGCTGTGTGTGTTTTGTGGCAGGTACTTCAAGCGTAGCAAGGGCCTGGAGCGCTACGTTCGATGAGCTCATAGGCAGACCCATCGGGCAGTTCTCGCGGACACACATGGCCCTGAATGCCCCGGGGGTGCTGGCCGAAACCCCCGACATATTCGCCGTGATCATAATTCTCATCTTGACAGGTAAAGCACACACTGAAAAAGAGACCGGGTCGGACCCGTGGGCAAAGCGTTTATGGCAGGCTCTTAGGAAGTTCCTTCCTTCCTTCCGTTTCTCTTTAACACCTCTGCACCGTTTCTTTTTGTTCTGCTCTGTTTCCGTCATTCATGCAGATGTCTTGATTGGCTCCTCATAGGTTCACACAGAGCTGGTCTGCTTCATCGCTGTTGAGTTGTGTACCATTTAATTAAAAGAGAAGCTCAGGCGTTTAGTGTAACTGTTTGTGGAGTAAGATTTTGTCAGCGCTGCAGGCTTTTTGCACAAGTGACCCAGGAGTAAAAATTCTTTTGACTCAGTGGATGACCATTTGGCAAGGAAAGTGGTCATTCATCAGCCAGGAAAATGTGGAGGAATGAAGTCTGTCTGGAACACTAATGTGTGCCTGGGGCGTCTAACGGCGTCTCGGATGGTTTTACACCTAACAACCATCAAAACACCCTTTGAATAAATAAGTTTCATGACAAAATTGTGGTTACAGAATTTTGAAATTCCAGACACTGCTTGAACACAGCTGAGAGCAACTTCTAGTTAGCGACATGTATCCGTGTCTCGGCCAGCAGGATGACAGTTTCGCTCCATGGGGCTCCACAAACATGAAGCTGAAATGCAAATAAATTCATATTTGGGGTTAGAAAATCTTGGATGAATTTTTAAAATGACATGCCTTATTTTACACATCACATAATTGAAATAACTTTGCCCAGGCTGGTCTCGGCAGTATTTCTGGTCCAGCTGGCAGAAACATGTATCAGAAAATATTTCTTGCACTAGTAAGATTTTATTTTATAATAATAAACGTGAGAGGTAGGGATGCATGGCAAGGTGTTCTCCCTGTGATTAACTACCCAATTCTCTTCTAACATCTGCACTTCCGAACTCAATCTCATAGGCACAGCAGTTTTTATTTTAAAATGTACGACAGGCATCCGTGGCAGAGCAGTGGTCTCAGATCATGGTGGTGCTTGGGTGTTGCCTTCAGCCCCTCTCTGTGTCGCAGAGAGTTCGGCTGTGGAAGTCCCCGAGTGGTATCTTCCCCCTAAGGCGGTCCTGTGGGATGTGCTGTCAGAGGTTCCTCCTGCGCATTTTTATCACTTTTTATTTTAATGCGAGTTTACAAGCTAGAGCTAGTTGAGCTCAGACTTTATTTAATATGCACTGACGAGGAACCATGTGTGTTAGTGGTTCCAAAACCACAGCTAGTTGTTATTACTAATATATTACTAACATCCCAAAGTCAATCTGAATGATTCCCACATCTGAAAAATTCTCACTGTACCAAGAAACTTGAGCACAGCGTCTGTTCCTGGATTTGCTTCTGAAGGTCGGTTCCCAGCAATGTCATTTTAGTGCAAAGGATCGGCGTGATGGGGGGGTCAAGGCCCTCTGCACCCTCTGCGAGGGGCTTTCCACGGGCGGTTGACTGTCATAGTCCTGATCTCGGCAGTCCTTGGGTGCCCCTTGGGTGACACCCTTAATTCTCAAGGGGATCCAGAAGACCAACTCTGAGAGCCTGTGAAACACCCCTCGGACTCGGGTTACCTAGGTTCCTGCCCCTAGAAAGACGATGAGTCCCCCCTCCACTCCCAGGTTCTCTCCCAGTCTCCTCCCACCCCCATCCCAGGAGGGGCCCACGTGGTGTGTGGTTACCACTCAGACAAGGTTTCCTGTCTGTGCACTTTTTCAGGACTTTTAACTCTTGGTGTGAAAGAGTCGGCCATGGTCAACAAAATATTCACTTGTGTCAATGTCCTGGTCCTGGGCTTTATCATGGTGTCAGGATTCGTGAAAGGATCAATTAAAAACTGGCAGCTCACGGAGGACGATTTCCAGAATACGTCCGGCAATCTCTGTCTGAACAAGTGAGTTGTTTCTTCTGTCCCTCGCGTGTGGCCATTCTCCATGTTGGTATTTCACGACACATACATGAATCTGGGTCTGTAACAGGCTAGGACAGTGTGTGCCTTTTTAGAAAAACATCTTCGAATACATTTTGTTAATGTTTTTGTTTTGTTTTTTGCAGCTGAGGGTATTTTATATGTTTGGAGTTTCTGCGAAGGTTTATTCCCCTGAATCGGACAGAACATTGTATGACGAGAAAGATTTAGGAAATCAGAATCGTCGCTCTAATTCCAAATTGTGTATAGTTCAGGACCGTCGTCGTCGGACTCACTCAGTAATCTCTCTTTCCTCGTGTTCTGTTTCACGGCCAGCGGTCTGCGTTTTGTATTCAGCAAAGATCGTCTCCGCGATGCCGTGCTGATCCATTTTACCTTTAAATGCCTTCCTATTGTAGTGGTAACACAGAGGGAAGAAGAAATATGTGGAACTTTGGCCAAAGGTTTTCAGAATTACTGAAGTACCAAAATATGAATATAACAATATCTTCCTCCCACGTTTGACGTGTGTGGCCTCAGCCTGACAACCGTGGCCCTGTCTCTGACGTGGACACTGGAGCTGGAGGTGGCGGCCGGCTCTCCACCCTGTGCCTTCTCAGGCCTTCTGGCGAGCTCAGGTCATCTAAGAAACAGAGCCAAACAGTCGTAATGAAGCAGGTGACTCTGCAGGTCCCAGGATGGAGAGTGGGGGTTTGGGTTTTATCTGCGATTCTACTCTAATTCAGGCTGGAAGTTAAACTGGGATGCTAAAGAGACCCTCCTACAATGCTGGGGCTTTAAAGTGATGTTTCAGGTTCTGAAATGAGCAGTCCAGGCTGGCTGGCCAGCTCGGCTGCCACAGACCTCTGGGGACCAAGATGTCTTCCATCTTGCTCCATCATCCCCTGGGACGTTGTCCTCATCTGCCTGGTCAGGGTTGTGCTGTGGGCACAAGCACGGCCCAGCTCTCCTAGGAAGGAGAGCCTGGGGAAGAGAGCGCGCCCAGGGCTGTCAAGGACAGACCCAGAAGACACACGGCCCTTCTGCCGTGTTCCACAGGCAGGAATCTAGGGGCGGCCACACCTGGCTATAAGGAAGGCTGAGAAGCGCTATCTCACTTTAGGGGTATTGGCAGCAGAGGGTCATTGGTTTAGGGCCAGGTGCCCAGCTGTGTCCTCCAAGCATTGATATGGGGCTGGAAGCCATTACTAGAGCGTAAACAGGAAACTATTGCATTGGATACATGAAACTTCACTAACGCGAATATTATGTGGTTAACAGTTCAAATGAAAACAGCCTTGCTTTCCTAAACTCTGTTACAGAGAAATGAGGACTTTTAATGTGTCATTCCCAAGCATTCCGGAGTCATATTTGTGCCAAATTTATCAGTGCCCATTAATTCAGGGTGGAGTAAAGCCAATTCAAAATATGATTTAAAAACTTTGAGAGCATATTTTACTGGTTGCTATTTGTAGGTCAGGAATGAAAGATGGGTACCTCTCATGTCCTGGTTGCCAATCGAGATTTAATTTTACTGTTTTTATGAAGACATTGTGCCATCCGATGGTATTTACTTTCATTGGTCATCCTCACACAGACACCCTGGGGATGATGAACTGTTCTGGCCTCCCAGACAAAGCAGCATTTGTTGCCCCAGCCCCCGGATCACAGGTGGGGCCCCTCAGTTACATCTGATGGACTCACTACCAGGCCTAGCCCCCCAGGCCCGGGGCACAGCTGTTGGGGATGGTAGGGAATCGGGGGAGCTCTACAGGACTGGAGTCGAGCTTGCTCTTTCATTTTGTTAAAATCTCTAAGCATCGTTCTTTTTTTTTCCTTCCAGCTGTAGATTTGTATTTCTGATAACAGCCATGTAGCCTTGCATGAAATTGCTTGTCTCTCTGAAATAGTAGGGCACTTCCCAACCAAACTATATAACATGGAGGAGCTTCAGTGCGCGTGGGTTTGGAGGCAGTTTTGACCACACTGGGTTTGTGATTTTAGGATGCTCTTCCCGTGGCTGTCTGGGAAGGCTCCTTGGAGCCTGGAGTCAGTCTGTGTCTTGGTCTGCAGTAGGGGTGTTACCGTGTTACCCACAGACTGGCTGGTTCCTCACTGCCTTTGACTTGTGCTACCGCTGGCTTTCTTATCCAGTGTTCTGTAGATACGGCAGTAGCAAAGCATCCATCCTATGTGGAAGCCCGTGTAGAAAGTGTTGCAAGGTATCTGTCCGTTAGGGTGGAAACCTCAAAATAACACTGGCTTCACCAAGATCAAGCTGTGGTTCTCTTTGGTGGCCAGTCCATGGGCCACATTCCCAAGGTCACCCCAGGACCCAAGGTGGCTCCTCCTGCTCCAGCGAGCAGGAAGGAGAAGGGGCAAGTAGAGGGCACCCCCACTAGATCCCCAGACATTTCTCAGCAGGCGCAGACACCACATCTGCTTAAATCTCCTTGATCAGCACTTAGTCCAGTGGCTGCACCTTGTAGCTATCGAACTAGAGAAACAGTCTTGATTCTTAGTTGGATACTAAATATATCTACCCATCCAACATCCAGCTAAAATAATTAAAGGTCCCATTTCTGTGTAGAACAGGGGAGTGTGGCTTTCGAGGACAGCTAGCAGTTTATGTCAGGGTGGCGGGTGTAAGGACATGGGAGCCCGGCCGTAGACGTTCACCGCTCACGCAGGGGTAACAGGCCGTGCAGGGGGACCGTCTCGGCCCTGGCCCCCTTACTTTCCCAGATACTGTCTTTGCTAACTTCTGAGTGGCTAGTTGGGTACAATGCAGAAAGGCTGGCCACCCATTCTGCAGGGCAAGCAACGCTGAAGTGAGACCTGGATTTTGCCTCGCCTCGTCACGAGGTGACATTGCGGTCAGTGGGCGGCACTGGCATATCGTTGCTCACATGCGCCTTCACCTGTCACTCACGTCCCATGGCCTGGAGGTGTATCTGATTCCTCCCCCGCCACAGTCCTGGGGACCCAACTATGAAGCCTTTTCTTTTGCCTCCTCCCGCTGCAGGCCACCCACAGCCCCTTGCTTCCCTCCGTCCCCACCTTCCTCATCCTTTGTTCTTTGCCTGTCTGTGTGAGGAAGGCCCGTGCCAGCCCTTAGGCCGCTTCTGCCAGTCGATCTGTTTCTGGAGTTCAGTGATGTATCTAGTCCCTGCACTCTCCACCTCCCCGGAAATGGAATTCTCAACGCCTTTCTAGGTGCTTGTGCCTCAGGGTTGTTCTAAGCATCCCGGCAATACTGGCCTTCATTTATTTGTATTTGCAGCCGTTTCAATAGCTCGTGATGCCTTAGGACTGGAGCCAGTGGGCGTCTGTCGTCCTGGCAGCCAGAGGGCCCCAGCCCACAGAAGACATTCTGACTCCTGAGTTCCCCTCCTCCTGGGGTCTCCTCCTCCCTCTCCTGAGCCATGTGGTTGTCACCTGTTTTGTTTTAAGCTCAGGCCACTTTATAAGAGGAGTCTGCTTACCAGGGTGGCACGTTCTTTGGCTGATTTATGTCCACAGTGGGAGCAGGCCGGCCAGTGGGCCGTCGGGACTGGGAGACTGTCCTGTGGCCTTGCTGACTTATTTCTCCTGGGCTGCTTGTGTTTGTACTTCGGTTGTCAGTTAGTCACACTTTAAGATAACAAAATAAAGCTCTTGTTTGGTAACACGTTTTCCTACATCCATCGCTTACACATATCCTATATGGTTCTGCTTCTCGCGCCAGGAAGTGATGTGATGTAGGGCAGGTTGTCCTGTGCGGTCGGATGGAGGTGGCTGTCAGCCTGGTCGAGTAGGAGGGACAGAGGAGGGTGGTGATTGTCCTCATGAGCCCGGGGCCGCTCACAGTGGCCCTGTGACAGGACAGAAGCCTGCAGCCCCGCTGCTGGCAAAGGTGTGGATGGAGGGGAAGGAGCAGGGGCTTGGAGGACTTTACGGTGCCCTGGAATGGGCCGAAGCGCCGTGCTGAACGTGGGCGCAGCTTCGGTCATGGGTGTCAGATTCACCGGGACTGTTTGCTGAACATTCAAGCAGCTGGTCTTCTTTTGGACATCTGCATTTATAAACTGTGCTTGTTTGACTTTGCATTCATTAATTTAGCAGATATGTGCCGAGTCCTGCAGTGTGCCAGGGCCGTGCCAGAGCCGGTCCCCACCCACCAGGCAAAAGCTGTGCAACCCCCGGCCCCCTAGACTCTACCTTATGCATGTGGGTGCTTAAGACTAAGGCAGTACGCTTTTTTTTTTAACCTGAGTTTCTCCCAAAAATGATTGTTTTGAGGTTTAGTTACTGATAAGTATGGGACCAGGGGCAGGTCCGTGCACTTGACTGGTGGCTCTGTGTCTCCCTCTGGGGGCTTCCTGGGGAGGAGGGGGTGGGGCCAGCCACAGTGGTTGGCTTCTTCCCTATTTCCTGTTGGACCCCCCCCAACCACAGCCCCTGCTTCTCTGTGCCAGAGTCATTGTTTAGAAGGTGCTCTGGAAAGGGCAATACTGTGCACCCTTTTGGTTTGGGGTCACGAAGGGCAGAGAGGCTGGCTGCCCACGGAGTTGGAACGCCGTGGCGGGTGGCAGCACCCCCAGGTCTCGGGCAGAGGGTCTGGAGCCCTGGGCAAGGCGACCGTGATTGGTGGGGGTGGTGACTGCCTGGCGTTGCTTCTCTTCAGGAGATGAGCGCTGCTCCTTGAGCCAGACTGCGCACAGGTGTTGTGATTTTGACTGTGGCTCTTTTTTCTAGTAACACAAAGGGAGGGATGCCTGGCGTTGGTGGATTTATGCCCTTCGGATTCTCTGGCGTCCTGTCAGGGGCAGCGACTTGCTTCTACGCCTTCGTGGGCTTTGACTGCATCGCCACCACAGGTACGTTCGCCCGCCACCGTCCGCGGGCCTTCTGCTCGCCAGCAGATAGCAGCGACGCTGCATAGGGCTCGCCGCTTCCCGTCCCGCTGCCGCGCTCCGGCGCGTGAGTAACGTGTGTTTCTGCAGCTTCCTGCTAATCCCGATACCTCCCCCTTACCACGTCCCTGAGTGGCAGTGCCTGACAGGAAACCGCATCAGGAACGTGGCTAACGGTCCTGCTGTTAGAATGGATAATGGCAGTGTAGCTGCAGCCTGATTTTACATCGGTGCATCATCCGGGAGAAATGAGGCCATTAAAAATACCGTCATCCTGGTGGATTGAGCCGGCCAGGCTCCACTGAGCCTCCCAGGTTTTCTCGGCCAAGGGAAACAAGTCTCTTCCTTGGCTGAACCGCGATGTGTAGGCCGAGAACACCATCTGGGCCGTGGGCCGTCTGGTGTGTGATACTGAGTGCTGTCCCCGTTCCCGGAACCCCCAAGGACCCTGTCCTATAGGGTCGAGCACTGTGGGGCCGTTACTTGTGGCGTGCGTGGGCTCCCTGGCACCAGATGCCCTTGGGTGTCACGCGGGGAGGCCGCGCCCCTGGCCGCCTGCCCTGCTCAGGCTCACCCCGGCTGCCCCTAGGCGAAGAGGTCAAGAACCCGCAGAAGGCCATCCCCGTGGGCATTGTTGCCTCCCTCCTCATCTGCTTCGTCGCCTACTTCGGGGTGTCGGCCGCCCTTACGCTCATGATGCCGTACTTCTGCCTGGACAAGGACAGCCCCCTGCCCGACGCCTTCAAGCACGTGGGCTGGGAAGGCGCCAAGTACGCGGTGGCCGTGGGCTCCCTCTGTGCGCTTTCCGCCAGGTGAGAGGGGCTTTGTCCCCTGGGAGTCCAAGGGAGGGAGCCAGGCTTTGGCAGGCCGGGTTGAGGCCCTGTGGGACACGAGTCAGCCGCTAATATCCCTCTTCCCTTGAGTCAGAGCCAGCACCTCAGCGCCAATGGTGGCTCTCGCCCCTTGTCGTTGCTGTTAATCATCCCAAGAGTTGTTTGTATTTCTGACATTTTCATCCCGAAGAACCAAGGCTGACTTCTCAGCGAGGCTCTGGCCCTCTGTCCCTAATGTCAGCCACGGGACCAGCCCCCTCTTTGAGCCCCATATTTTGGCCCTTAGTTTGACGATCACGCTGGAGAAATGTTTTTGCCCTGGTGTCTCCCGCTAGCCCGCGTCAGTAGGAACCGTTTGCTCACTGTCGGTGCACCACAGAGAGGTCCTTGTGAATGCAGCGGTGCTTGCATTTTCTGTCTGGCTCAGCTAGAAACAATTGCAGGAGGAGACGTACACTTAGCCTTCCATATAGACCACGACTGGATTTCATCTCGGTTTATGTTAGGTGTTTCCCGTTCTTTACCGCAGTCCATGCTGACAGCGTGTGCTTTTTCTGGGGTTGATTTACTAAATGCCGGGTCTTCCAGCTGTGGGCCTCCCAGTGTGGGGGATTGCAGTTCTCTGTGAGAAATGCGGGCTCCCTCTCCTCAGTGGTAAGCTGTGCTTGGTCGTGTGTGGTGCCCGTATCCCTCATGAGCCAGTTTTGCTCACACGTTTTGCCTTTTCCCCCCAATCTAGTCTTTTAGGCTCCATGTTTCCAATGCCTCGAGTTATCTACGCCATGGCTGAAGACGGACTGCTCTTTAAATTTTTGGCCAAAATCAATGATAGGACCAAAACACCAATAATCGCCACGTTAACCTCCGGTGCCATCGCTGGTAAGTGCGGGCACTCACTGCATGTGCCAGCGTTTTCGCAATTGAGTTATTATTCCCTAGGGAGACATCTTGAATCGTACTGGTCTGTGAGGAATTTTAACTGGTCTTTTTAACACACTTGGAAACTGGTTCGTTGAAAGATACCTGTCCTTTTGACCAAAGGCTAATACGGCCAGTGTGGCAGAGGACGTGATGGAATTCTTGAAGAGTTTGAACGTTCTTGTCCACTCACTGGGCAGAGCGTGGCACGCACTGTCCTGCAGAGCCATTTGTCCTTCCCCCTCTCGGAGCGTTTCCCTGTGCAGACCTGGGCAGGCTGACTTCTTGCATGGTGCACACCAAGGGAGACATTTTGTTAGCACCTGGAAATTCAGTGTCCGTGCATCTTAGCACACGGAATTCTCTGGAAAACAAGTATTCCTTACAATCAGCATTTTCTAAAGTGTTCCCCCTGTTCCCCTGGGATATTGAGGGTGTTGCTGATGAAGCTGTCTGCCCGCGTTCATACGTGGCGGCAGACCCAGAGGAGGTTCACTTTCTGCGATCAGGTGCATCACCGAGAGGACAATTTAGATGGACTTGTTTCATGTGTTTCCTCCTTTCTTGGTTGTGTTTTATAGCCTGAGAGGCAGGTATCATCCCACTGCATAGAGGTAGCAGCGCAGGCTCCGGTGAAGCGAGGGTGCCCACCCGTGAGGGTAGGGTTGGCTTTTGACTCCTGGTTTGTTTTTTATGCCAAAGTGGCTGAGGTCCTCCCAGCGTCTGAGCAGAGTGGTGGGTCTTTTTGGCAAGTTAGGGCACAGGCCACTGGTCACAATTCATACCACAGCAACTTGTCCCGTGGCCACTGGTGAGACACTGGACCATCTAAAGTGAGTGAATCGCTCACCGGGTTTTGTTGCTATTTATGCCCTTAGGGAAGTGCACTTACTTTTTTGGACTCATAGGATATAATAAAAGAAAGCTATTTTTAAATTATTTAATAAATTTTTCCTGTGATTTTAGCTCTCGAGAGTGATTGCAGTGGCCAGGTTGAGGGGTACCCTATGTGGCCAGAATATTTAAGGGATTGAGGAACTGGAAATAGGAAATGTTTTTCAGTGTTCACATGTAATTCGATCGTGTTAAAGGCAGGCCCTTAATTTCCTTCCCGTGCTGATAAAGGCCATCAAACCACGATCTTTCGAGTGACTGTGAAGTTGGTGCCATTCACCAAATCCAGGATTGACTCTTTTTAATTTGGTGGATGATGGATTGGATGGGATTGATGGAAGATGGATGGTTAGATGGGATGAATGGATGGATGGGTGGATGGGTGGTGAATGATGGATTAGGTGGGATTGATGGAAGATGGATGATCAATATATGGATGATGGATGGATGCACTTGGCTGTTTGTGAGTCAGCACAGTGTAGAGGAAGACACACTGGATGCAGAGTCACAAGAACCTAGTTCACATCCTGGCTCGTCTACTTAGGAGCTGTGTGACCTTAGATAAGTCTCCTAACCCTTGTGGACTTTAGTTTCTCCATTGGAGGTATAGATAGGGGTTACAAAGTTGCCACTAGGATCAGAAAAGAAGAAAATACTCTCTAAACAAATGTTAGTGAGTATTACTGTCTTTTGAGGACTGCGTGTAATTTAATCATTAACTTGTCTTTGCTCGAATCCAGTCTTTCCATGGCAAGGCCAGGGGTGGGAGTAAGAGCAGTGCCTTTCGTGTGCCCTGCACCGCGGTGGGTGGTGGGCCTGGCGGTCGGCGTGTGCAGAGGGCCATCCATGCATCCTGACGTCTGTCTCTTCCCAGCTGTGATGGCCTTCCTCTTTGACCTGAAGGACTTGGTGGACCTCATGTCCATTGGCACCCTCCTGGCCTACTCTTTGGTGGCCGCCTGCGTGTTGGTCTTACGGTATGTATGGCGATGCACCTGGTAACCTTTAACAGTTGACATTGTTTATAAGGTGTAACTTTCAAGTTGGTGATCGCTCCATCCGGGCTGTGGAGGAGAGGGTGGGGTCTGGGTTGAGCGCCTAGTTGGGAGGACGTCCTTGAAGGGTTAGGGGCGGCCCCTCCCCTCCCTCTATCATGGGTCCTCATTTTTCTGGCTAGATGTTGGGAGGGTAGAGACAGGTTCTCTGTCCAACTGTCGGGTCTGGATCCTGGGATCAGAGTTTTTGAAGGCTTAGGGTAATGATGACACCTTGGTCCAGGTTCTTAGGATGGAGGAGACTGGGGCTGGCCCGGATAGGAACCGGGAGACTCCAGGGGCTGCGAAACTTGGGTCAGTGTGATGCTTCTGCAGCCTCGTTGCACCATGGCTGGTGGAGTGAGTCCCATTGCATGGTGTGGAGCGTCCTCCGCTGACCAGGTTCTGGCTGTTTTAGTCTTGTGTGGGCCAGGCACGCCCCGTGGACAGTTGCAGTAATGCAGCTCTGGGCCCAGGTGGGTGCTCCAGTGTTCTGTCCTGTCCCCGTGCTGCTCCCAAAGCACATCCCTGGACTCCAGTGTCCTTTGCTATGCGGGAGAGGGCTCTGCTTTCGGGGGTGGCCGGGGCAGCATTCGTCATGAGAGCACGTGCTCATGGAGACGTTCGGCGTTGGTCTCCCCACAAGAGCCGCCTCCTTTCTTTCCAGGTATTCGCACTTGCAACGTCATTGATTCCATTTTGAATGTCCTCAGCGGCTAATTAACATAAAACCTGGGTTAAGACTTAGTAGTGTCTGTGTAGAATCAGCTAAAACGAGTTTGTGGACCCCTTTTTCCTCCGCAAAGGCTCAGTGCTAGAGTATCCTCTGAGGCCCCTCACTTTCTTAATGGACCGAGTGGTGTTGCACAAGTGAATCAGTGCAAAAGTGGTTCCGTGTCTTTACGCTCACGCTTACAAGCGATCATATGCAAAGTCATTCACGGAGCACTCTGTTTCCAAAGCTGGTGGAGAAGATTTGCACTCTGCTTATTTTGGGTGCGAAGATAAGGCGTCTCGTTGAGAACAGGGGCTTCATTTGCAGGTAGCTCTGTCTTGGCAATTGCACCGCGGGCTCAGTTCAGCACTCAGCAGTAAATAACATAGAGTTATTTACTCTGAGGCACTTGGAGTTTTAAAATAAATTGATCCAATTAAGTCACACAAATAGCATTTCTCAAATCCATCAGCCCGCAGGCACGTTTCCCTGGCTGTCCTTGCCACGCAGGATCGAGTGTTACTGCCTTCTATTTCTGGCCTTCCCTGTAGCTCCCCGCAGCTTGCGTTTTGTGGGAAGAGGCCGCGTATCTTTCTCAGAGTGGGAGAAGCCCTCCCGGGGCATTCCCCTGGGCTGCCCCGCTGTGGAGGTCACATTACCCAAAACAGAGTCACCAAGGAGGGTGTTGCCAGAAACAGGAGACCTGGGTCTCTGCTCCCGTCTCTGCGTTCCGAGAGGGGGCGCCACTCTGGCCACCTGCTTCCCGTTCTGTGCCTTGTGTTCCCGCAACTTACCTGTAAGGGCGTATTAAGAACTTGAGTTGACGCACGTCCTGCTTGAAGGAGAGTACAGTGGTCATGCGGTACGTTTCTCTGCAGGTATCAGCCGGAGCAGCCTAACCTGGTGTACCAGATGGCCAGAACGTCGGACGAGCTGGATCAGGTAGAGCAGAGCGAGCTGGGGAACAGCAACGACTCCCAGACGGGCTTCTTGCCAGAAGCAGAGATGTTTTCTTTTAAAGCCATACTCTCACCCCAAAACAGGGAGCCTTCCAAATTCTCTGGGCTGATTGTGAACATTTCAACCAGCCTTATAGGTAAGAGCTTGCCCTTCCCCGTGCAGAGTCTGGGGTCTTGCTTGTTGGCGTGGCACGGGGCCCAGGCAGTGGGCTTGGGGGCGGGAAGGTGCTAGACACGCGCATCTGTCTTGCCACCGGACTGCGACGTAGTTGTTCCGTCCCAACTGTGGCTGATTCCTTCAGAAGTAGAGCCTCCCTCCCCCCCAGGATCTGGGGGGAACCGAGGATATTGTGGGAACTTGAGACACAGTTGGGTTGCACCCCTCTCTCCTGTGCCTTTTAGCCACTCTTATCATCATCTTCTGCATCGTGGCCGTGCTCGGGAAGGAGGCTCTGACCCAAGGGGAGCCGTGGGCAATCTTCGTGCTCACGGGATCTGTCCTCCTCTCCACCTTGGTCACTGGCATCATCTGGAGGCAGCCTGAGAGCAAGACCAAGCTCTCGTTCAAGGTGAGCGTTCAAGGAGGGGACAGGCCACAGACTGGCCCTCCTGCTGGCTGGCTGGCCTTGTGTGGGCCTGGCCAGGCCTGGGTGCCAGCCAGCCTCCCGGGGCAGACGGGGCAGGAGCCCCAAGGCACAGGCAGTGCTGCCAAGAAAGGTCTGGCCCCAGGTGGCAGGTGTACCTGCCCACGGTGGCTTCTTGTAAATGTCCAGGCGGGTCGCATGTCATTCCCAAGCCTTGGAGATGAGCGAGGCATCTGCATTTTTGATTATACAAATAACAGGATAGTCAGACCTTAGAGATGATGTAGAAGTCCCCCTTCTAGTCTCTCCTTGGGAGGAGAATTAGGATGGCGCTCACCTTGGCATTTCATAGCTTAGAACCAAATTCCCACCTGTTGGGATCTGCCCACATCTGTTGGGGTGCAGGCTGGAGGTTGGCGCTCACTTCCTCTTCCGCACCCTTCCTGACAACCCCCGCGACTCTTAGGTGCACGGTCCTTTGCTAGGTAGTTTTGCTGAGTGATGCAAATAGGCACCATCACCGAGCCCGCCACCCCGGCAGATCTGACGCCGCCTCATGTCTCTGCAGGTGCCCTTCCTGCCGGTGCTGCCCATCCTGAGCATCTTCGTGAACATCTATCTCATGATGCAGCTGGACCGGGGCACCTGGGTGCGGTTTGCCGTGTGGATGCTCGTGGGTACGTTATGCTGCGACCAGCGTGTCCAGGGTCCTGGCTTCTCTTGGGCTCCCCTGGCCCCCAGCTTGGCTGGACAATTAGTGTCGTAGAGTCTCCTTGGTTCAGATTTCGTAACACAGTGAAGCACGTAGTCAGCAGTTCTCTCTAAAACACTACTGAGCTCCTCATAGGTTGTGGCTCGTCCCCTCCCTTTTAGATACTTTTCGATTTCATTGCCTCTTGCCCAGCGGGATTCCCGACTGGATAACCTCCTACAGGGGTAGCAGGGGCTGTCCAGACAGCCTGGGACCTCTAGCACCTGCTGGAAATCCCCCCCCCAGGAGGGGCTAGCGTGACTTCCAAGGACTCTCGGGGCCTCGGGCCTTCAGGGAATTCGGCTGAAGGGCCCTATTCCCTCCTGTGGCCCCCGGCCCAGCCTCCCAGTCTGCTAAGGAAATGCCTCGGCGTGAGGCTGTCCAGAAGGAGACGTGGCTTTGCCAGATGTGGAAGCAGACAGTGACCTTTGCCGACTCTATTTGAAGAGTCATGTGGTTTCTCCAGATGTGGAAGGTCAGCCCGGGAGGGCCGCTGGCTGCGGGCTCGTGCCCGTGCAAGAGGCTTTTCTGTGGGGCCTCAAGGCCTGGGGCAGCGGCCTCTGTCTGTCTCCCGGGCCTGGCCCGCTCCGCTCACGCCCCGTCTCTCGCTGTTGGCCCACAGGCTTTGTCATCTACTTTGGCTACGGTCTGTGGCACAGCGAGGAGGCGTCCCTGGCTGCCGACCAAGCAAGGACTCCTGAGGGCAATTTGGACCAGTGCAAGTGACGTGCAGCCCTGCCCCCTACAGGGGGCAGCAGCCCCGAGGGACACCCCCAGGAGACAGGAAGGCACCCCGCTCTCCCTACCAGTGTAACAGGAGCCGCCCCCAGCCACGACGCCCCCAGTGCAGCTGAAGGTGCAATTACGTGAAGCGCAACCACAGCCACGGCTCACGTGTCCTGCCCAGACCCGGCTCTGCGGCCCCGCTTACCTCCAGACAGCTCTCTGGCGGGGGCCTCTTGGCTGTGGCTGGCCTCTGTGTCTCCTCCCTTCCCTCTGAACCAAGAAAGCCACTCTTCTCCTCGTTGGCTCAGCACCCTGCTGCCTCCCTCAGCGGGACAGAGGCCACCTTCTCTCCTTATCCTGGGAACCAGGCTCCCCGTCCTGAGGACTGCTTTGGATGGAACACGTGCATCCTCCAAACTCCCAGTAGCCAGCCCCCCTTCAGTCTCCATGGTAGCCATAGACGAGAGACAGTACCACAAAACGCTGTGCCCCGCAGCCCCACCCCAGAGCCAAAGGACAGCTGTGTGCTTAAAAAGGAGCAACAGGACCGTTTCCTTCTCCTGCTCCTGCCCGAGTTGCTTCCAGGTGGCTGTTAGGGTGGGACCCCTCCCCCACCGGTCCTTCTGGGCATGGTTTTGCTCTGACACCGGGGCAGGTGGCTCCTTTCAGACAAGGAGGAAGGGCTCGCTCCCGGTGGGAACGAAGGCCTTAGGGCAGGGGCGGGCTGGCTCCACGCACGCACATGCGTAAACCCGGGGTCTTGCCGCCCACGCCGTCCAGGCCTGGGCCAGTTCTTGCTGCTTCCGCTGCTTTCGCTGCTGCCTGCACCCCACGTAACTGGAACCCAAGACTGTCTGTGTAGGACTGGCCTCAGATTGGCGGAGTTTAGAACTATTTCCTGTGGGTCTTTGCCTCACTGACTCTTGCCCTCCCACGCTTGCTCTGGGCTCCTGTGAGGTTCTCAAGGCAGAGGGCAGCTCGGTCCAGGACCACGGCACGTCTGCGTCACCATGCTGCTGGCCTCTGTCTTACGCGTGGTGAAACTGAAACCAGTGCATAGTTGTTGAGTTTTTGTGTCTCTCTCCCCCACGCGGCTGTGGGTTTTGATTTTCTTTTGGAATGTGGCGATATTTTTCCCCTGTTCTTTTGGCGTCTCTTTTGGTGTGTGTTGTCCACGTGTGATGTTTTTTTGTGTCAGTGTTGTGTCTCTCTTGTGTCTCTCTTCTCCACACTGTGGCTTTGCATCCGCGGAGGGATGCTGGCCCTGCCCTGGGCCTCCTGCCTCCATAAGTCGGAGAGCGCGGGTGCTGCTGAGACTCCAGCCTGCAGCTCCCTGTCTGCAGAGAGGCCGTGGGCCTCCTCTAGCCCGGCCGGGCTGGGCCAAACACCGTCCCACACACTCCTCGTGGACTGCGGGCAGAGGCAGCAAGAGCGCTGATGGGCCTTACTTCCCTCCTAGCACAGCTCAGGAGACACAGGCCCCGGTGTTGAAGGGAGGTGGCGCTGTGGACCCCGCGGGAATGTCAATGCTGCCTCCAAACTTGGCTGCCCCTTTCTTTCCAATCTGGCCTTTGACACAGATCTGGTAGAAGGAAGCCTGATAAATTAATAGCACTTGACTTTGCCCCCTCTGCCCCAGAAGGTCCTTGGAGAGAAACGCAAGCATTGGTGTCACAGCCAGTGGAGGGCCGGTGGGCAGCCGAGGGCTCGCCCTTCACGCCAGGCCCTCTCACTGTGCAGAATCGTCCTCCTAAATCTCACTTGTGAACGTTCCAGAGGGAGCATCATAAAGGCCCAAAGCGTAGATTTCCAAAGAAAGGTATTTACATCTATGTAGATTGGTGCTGTAAACTATTTTGGTAAATATTAACTTATTTTGTCGGGGTTTTGGTTATCTGTTGTGTTCTTAGGTCCTAGTAGCTATTTGCTTGCTTGATTTGTTTTTTCCTTTTTTTTTTTTTTCCTGTTATTTTCTACATAGGCAAAGACAACTTGAGAAAAAGAGGGAGTCTGAGATAAGTGGTGGGGAGAGAGAATTTTTTTTTTTTTAACTTCAATTTCTCACTCTGGCTGAAATTGTCATGCAAGACAGCACCCGGTAGACTGTGTTGACTGCTGACGTTTCAGCTGCCTGTGCCGCGTCCTGCAGACTGCGCAAGTGGTTCCCTCCACAGAGCCCATCAGGGGAACGAATGTGCCGCACGGGGGGTCTGCGTCCCTTCCTCACTCGGGGCCTGCAGCACGACGCAGGAGCATGCGCAGGCTGGGCGGGGAAGGGACGCTCCCGCGCCCTCCCTCGTTAGAGCAAGGGCTTCCTAGCGAGGAAAGGACACCGAGGATGACCCGCATAGATAGCTCATTGGTCGCTGTGCTTTTACCAAGAGTAGTTTTGTGCAGTTGCCAGAGGTTTTCTCTGCTGCATGCGAGGGCAGTGACATAAGTAATGGTGTTTGGGATCAGTCTCACAATTTTAATAGACTTTTCCTTATCACATCCCTCCTTCCTTCCCCTAAATAAAAACACACCCACACGGGCAGGAAAAAAAAAATGACTGATAGTTTTACATCTCTCAGTTCCCCTGCCCAAACAGGAACATCCTCAGTGTCACAGCTGGCCGGTATTTTCCTGCGTAGTCAGAACTTCCACATTACCGGAGACACAGCCGCAGGAACGCTGTGTCTGCTGTTATCTGCGCACCGGCCCTGGCACCCATGTCTGAAAGAGCATTTGTGACAAGTAAGCATCTGTGCCTGTCTCCCGTCCCCCCACGACCACCCTGCAGCACCTCTGCTGAAGAGTAGGGGTGGTGGGGGTCTCGAGTGAAGCGGCGGCCCCAGTGGGAGGCGGCACGTGAGCCGGCTTACAGGAGGGCAGCCCTGCTGTGGGGAGGGGGACCGTCGGCGAGGCCGGGCCTCCGCACACCCCAGCCCCGCTCGTCACCCCTGCTCACTCCGCCTCAGCTGCCCTTGGTGTTGGGTTTGTTTTTCCAAACCAAGAGGGAGGAGTGATAGACTCATTTTTCCTAGGTCGTTTCAGAAAGATCGCTTAATTTATATTATTGTCAGAATTGCTCAGATCTTCCCCTACTTTTGGTTTTGTTTCTGCAGCAGTAGGAGGAGGGCCAGGCCCACCCACCCTGGTCCCTGGCGCTGGCTGCGCTGTTGAGGGGGGCTGGGAGACGGGTAGGAATGTGGGTGTGCCAGCTTTTCTGTCCCACCGCCCGCTAAGCAGGCATTCTGAGTGTGCTGGTGTTCGCAGCCCCACGTGGTGTGTGGCCTCCAGCTGGACACTGGGTGGAGACGAGCCAGAGCTGGGAGCCCGGGTGGGAGGCCCCCCAGCCCCCTGCCAGGCTCGTGTGTGAGGTCATGGGCACCGCCTGACACGCAGGGGCTCACCGCTAGAGAGAGCCTGCCTGGCTCCATGCCAGGGCCCATCTTTTCTGATCTAAACATCCCATTTTTACGCAGACACCTTTCTTTTTAACATGAGCTGACAGTTGTGTTGGTGCCCAGGAACATACACCATGAAGACAGAGAGTGCGGGGCCGTCTCGCCCCAGGGCCCCAGCACCGCCGTGTTCTCGGGTGGACGAGAGACACGTTTGTGTCCATGTGCCCCGGGTCCCCTGATTGAGCTCCCAGGCCGGGAGAATTGCTGGGCGGAGGGGACCCGATGGTGTTTGCGTGTGGAACTGTTCCAGAATGCAGCTTCAGATGGAACTGAATACATGTTACATATAATTGTTATATATAATTTAAAACACAGGGTGTCCCAACAGTCACCCGACATAGGGAAAATGGGAAATTATAGCTAAACGTACCTTTATTTACAAAGTATTCATTACAAAATTTTACAAAATTCTTTCTTTGTATGGAGACTGTAAGTTTTCCTTTGTATGGAGACAAAAAATTTTGTAAAATTCATTACGAAATTTTACGAAATTTTTCCTTTTAATGGAGACTACACAATTTTTCCTTTGTATGGAGACAAAATAGTTTGTAAAGCTTTGTAATGAGTATCTTGTAAATGAAGGTACATTGAGCTACAATTTCCCCCTTTCCCTATGTGTGGCGACTTTGGGACCCTGTATGTATGTGTTTGCCGTCTCGCTGAGAGGATTACGTGTGAGGCTCCTAAGACAGCGAGATGTACATTTTGTCAGGCTCTTGTGGACTTTTTTGGGTAATAAAATGCTCTACTCATCCGGTGGGGCACGAAGCTACACTCCATACGGCATCCCAGTTATGATGTCTAATGGGTTTTCTAGGCAGAAAGTTTCAGCTGCCTTCACTCTAACCCAGAGTCCCCGCCCCTTGCCCCCTGAGCCACGGTGCTCTCATCGCGGAGGCCTGGCTGTGCCAAGAGTCTCAGGGCACAGTTCCCCAGGAGCCCTCCTGGATCACCCCATAAATATGTTGAGCCGCCGGCTGGAAACCCCACATGAGATGGAATCCCTTGGCCAAGCTTAAAGAGAAGTCCACGCATATTTCTCAGGGTATTCGCGTGTCCAGCAGGTCAGGAAGCAGGGCTGGGAAGATGCATTCAGACTTTGTTAACTTATTAACAAGGTGTATGATTTCATGTTTCTCGATGACAAACTTTTAAGTTTGGGACTTATTTTCCCATTTGAGAAGTTGTAATATATATTTAAGATAAGTTTCCTGCTTAAGTTGTGCCTTTCAGCTTCAAAGGGTTTAAGGAGCACAAAGGATAATGATACTGACGAGGGTTGGTTTATTATCAAACCTGGATAGCTGTGGTTTCTCCAGTACATTTTCTTCTTCTACTGAACATGGAGCCATTACTAAAAGAGTTGTGTGTTTTTTATTATGTAAATTGTATAATATTTTTTGCTTGTTTGATGGTCTATTTTTCTAACAGTTTTCTTCTAGTTTCTTATAATTGTGATACTAGATTTTGCTTCTGATGCTAACTCCAAATCAGGCTGGTCTCTGCTGGGTCTCCTGTTTTTATTTTATTTTAAGGACACGGGTAGGTGTCGTCTGTCGCCTTTCAAAAAATGTGAAACTGCTCTGTATCCCCTTTTGCCAACAGTGCTGTACATGGACAACCTCCTCCCACACTTCGTGTTGTGGAGACAACCTATTTTGTGGTACACTATCTCATGCTTCCGCAAATTCTAATAAATGCTGTCTCTGGCGTCCGCGTACGGAGTGTGGTCTCAGGAA